TAAAGAGAGATTTAAATTAATTCTGAAAATTTTATTTTGAAGGGTAGAAAAGTTTAGGGATCTCTGAGTGTTTCAAAAAGTATTAATTTTCTAGTGGCTGAGGAGTAAGAAGTTTCTTTTAATATATATCTGTATGTATTCAGCACACTCTGTGAAGGCATCTTAGTCTAAGTGCTTTTTTGCTTAGCGTATTGCTTATTTGACCAAGGCAGTAATCCGGTCTCTCTCTCCGTTCTGCTTTACTAAGATAAGCTGTTACTTCATCTGCAACTTGTTGCAAGTCCAATGCAGCTACAAGTTAAACATGCATACTGTTCAACCTGTAAAAAATTAAGCTTCCGATTTCATTGTTGTGTACAAATGTTGCTCCAAAACAGAATAGGAAAACCCAGCGTGTTAGGGGTGTTTGCGTGCCTCTTGTTTCTTTCCTCCTGTATTTAAAATGGCCTGTACCTCAGCTAATCGAGTTCAAAGGGCTGACGTCACTACATTTCCTGGAATCGTGTTCGGCAGGGAAGTGGAAAAGTTAAACTCCAAGCGAGCTACACATTGACGTCAGCTCCGAGTCATGCTGTGATTTAGTCAGTTCCTTTCGGCTTTGTCAAGTGCTGCTGACAGATTAGAGTTGTTAACTGGCTCGCCACTGCCTCTATCTCCAAGATCGCTCTTACAACTGAATAGCTTTTCTCGTAAGCCTTACTTTAACATTTCTCTTGAGGTAAGTGTCTGCTTGACGAGGGGGAACGCTTTGTGAAACCTGTAATGCTTGGGTGAGCAGAACTCGGCAGCCGTCTGTCCCGCCTACGCCTACGTGGGAAGGTTGAGCCTGCCTCCCGCGGCGGCCGCCCCGCACGTGCCCGGGGAGAGGTGGGCGCTGGAGCTGGAGGGTTTCCGCACGGTTGCTCACTCTCGGGCACTGGCGCCTCGGAGTGCCCTCTAGCGCTCAGTCAGGGGAGTGCTTGTCTGAAAGTTGTCGCCCCCACCCCCACCCCTCCACCTCCCAGTCTCAGTTCTCTAAATTTGTGATCAGTCATCCTTCTGTTGTTTGGCTTTCTTAATTACAGGTAATGATTCAGACTTTGCTGCTAATGTTCTGTATTAGGGTTGCATTGTTGTTTTTTCCGTGGTGTCTCATTTCTAACCTCTGAATTTGCAGTTGAATTCACGAAGAATGGATGATTGTAAACAGCTTCACCACAGTTTAGCTTTTCAGAGTTAGTGGGTCTAAACCCTCTTCCTAGATGGGAACATTCCATTGATTTGAGCAACTAAGACCTGTATTAAAGCGTTTTGAAAATTATCTTGATGCGCTATTATTTTTCTCAAAGAAGTTTTGGTGAAATTTTAGAAAAGCTATAGATTGAAGAAACTCTCAAATGACAAGTTTATTGTAAGATACAGATGGACTTAAAATAATCTCAAATACTGCAGTATGATTCTAGAAGCAAGAGGCATTTTGTGCATGTATGTATTTGCTAAAAATCATTAGTTGGTTAAAAAAAAAATCATTAGTTGGTTTATATCTTTCTTTACTAAGTAAGCCTTTAATTTCAGTTCTCATGTCTAACCATGAGAGAAAATTATAATAAAAAATAAAAGATCTAAAAATACACAATATATTTAAAGATGAAAGTTTAAGGTAAAACTTTGCACATATTTTTAATCATTGCTTGTAAGTAAGTGAACATTTTTATACATTTATATGTACAGAATGAACATATACCATCCTTGAGCTTTGTTTCACAGTTTTACCTATAATGCTTATACATGAGTTACTAACAATTTAAAATCTTCCAAATGCTAAAACTAAAAAACGTCAAACTTTTTTCACAAGACCTCACTGTACTTTGGAAATCATTATTTTTAGAAATCTGATCAGTTTTCACAGAACCAATTCTATTTTGAAATGCTGTTTAAAAATGAACAACAGTTTTGTTTTGTTTTGTTTTTTGTTTTGTTTTGAGGAGCCAAAAGAGCACAGTGTTTAAGGGACTTTTTTGAAGTAATAGTAGAGGAGCTACCTGTGTGGATTGGTGAACCAAGTGGACTGATGTAGATCTTTGGCTTACACATTTTTTTGACCATGACCCACATTTTACATCATGATGCTGTATACTTGTGTGTGTGTGTGTGTGTGTGTGTGTGTACATAAAACAAGTTTTCTTTTTTCTTTATTTTTATTTAAATTCAATTAATTAACATATAATTAACATATATAAATAACATATAATTATTGGTTTCAGAGGTAGGGGTCAGTGATTCATCAGTCTTATATAATACCTAGTGCTCATTACATCACATGCCCTCCTTAATGTCCATCACCCAGTTACCCCATCCCCCCACTCCTCTCCCATCCAGCAACCCTCAGTTTGTTTCCTACGATTAAGAGTCTCTTCTGGTTTGTCTCTAATGCTTATCTTGGGGCACCTGGGTAGCTCAGTCAGTTAAGCTTCTGACTCTTGAGCTCAGCTCAGGTCTTGATCTCAGGGTCATGAGTTCAAACCCTGCAGTGTTTTTGGTGTGTTTGTTTGTTTGTTTGTTTTTTTAAAGTGCTTATCTTTACATATAGTAGAGAGGTAATGGACTTTTCTATTTTTCTGTTGCTCTGGAAATTGATTTTATGACCCACTAATGGTCTAAAACTTACAGTTTGAAAAACTTGTCTAGACCAAAATCAGGCTCCTAACAATGACTGGTATGGGAAAAGTTTTCAGGAGTATTTATTTATAGAATCATGGAATAAAATGTGGAAAGCGAATATCTGTAGTTTATAGAAGTGTATTATTGAGACTTTTGGGTACAGTTTAAATTTTTGTTAGAAATAGTTTTTGGCTTTATTCATAAGCTGATTATATTAAGACCCTCACTCCATATCTTTTAGTCTCTGAGTCTTAAAAACTCTAATACGTTGTATTCAGCCTGGACTTCTGAATTGTTAAAAATAAATATTCAAATTTGGAAAATAGTGTCTTAGTTAATATTTGATGCATGAGAATAAGGATACATTTCACCTTGTGAAAGGAGGGTACTTGAAAAGGTTATTCTTGGGGAATTTTCACATAAAAGAAAGGTTTGGATCAGGTGTAATAGCTTCTTAAACTTGCCAGCAAAGCAAGTTATAATCATGTTGGAAGTGAAAAAAGTCACTTATCTACCTTAAGTTTTAATAAAACTCCAAATCTGTATGGAAGGTTTACTGAAATTTCCATCATGCTATGTTCCCACTAATTTTGAAAAAATTTCAGTGAAGTATTTTTTGGGATGATTGTTTCACTCTGCCTGGTTTTATTTGCCTATACGAATATATTGCTTAATAAAATAATTGTGATACTTTGCATTTATGTAAGCTTTAAAAAAGTTACAGTGTTACAATATAAATACAAATACAAATGTGGTCAATGCTATCAAACGATCAGATGGTGAGAGACCTACAGGAAGCAGGTAATATAGGTTAAAGGATCCGGGTAGGCCTCGCTGAGGAAACTGTATTTAAATACCCAAGAGGAGAAGCACTTTCCATGTAATTTTACTGATGCACTCAGAGCAGATCATATTATATTCATTTTCCATATAACAACATGGATCAGAGTGGTAAATAACTCTTCCAAGCTCACAAAACTAACAAGTGGTGAACCAGTTTGGACCTTCAGACTTCAGGAACAGACCTTGTCTGATTCTGTTCACAACCATATTACATTGCTCCTCAAAATTCACCTGGTAAATTCATGCTAAGGTTAGATGAATTACCACAGCATACTACACACTACTTAGAAAACATACAAAATAAAGCTAACATCATTTTAAGTAGTCAAAATGGATTTTTTTCTAGAATATTTATTATTACCCTCACAGGGCAAGAGAGTGTATATTTGATATATATAGAACTTTTCATTTCAACATTTGTACTTTCTCATCTTTTACATAGACTCTTTTTTGACTCTTTGAGGAGTTCCCTTATATGTAACTTAAAGTAAAAGTAGTTAATGACTTAATTCTTTGTGGTCTAAGTGTTATAATTATTGTGACAAATTTGAAAATGTTCATTGCTTAAGTAGTCATGTTTATGTAGGGTTTCATTTTCCTGGAAAAAATAGAGCAGTGGAGAAGGGAAGGGTTTTGACGGTGGGAGACACCAGGCAAGGACAAGGCTGATTTGGGCATCGTGTGCCCTGGCGCGATGGAAGGGAGGGAGAGCGAAAAAAGAAAAGTGAAGATGTTAGTAGCTTCTTGGAGCTACGGAAGAGAAGTCCCCTGCTTATCAGTACAACTTCAGAGTTAGCTCATTGCTTGTTACTTAGGTAGATTTGGGATAAGGGACACCTAGCGAAATGAAGGTAGGAGCTCCATTTATAAAAATGTTTTTATTGAGTTAATGTGCTCAGTACTACAGATATCTCAGTAGATAAAACTACCAACATTTGGGATGTGGATAAGTTGTTCCACTTTGAAAACTATCAAGATAGGCGTTTGGCTGAGTTTCTTCTTTCTTTCTTTGTTAGGAAGAAACAAGCACCTCTTTGACTTGTTAGGCTTTTCAGTGAGTTTTCTTATTACCAGTCTGATGAAACTGTCTCATAGGGTTACTTGTGATTCTCCACCTTTGAGGTTCTATTCTAAATGATTATAAACATTGAAAAGGACTTTTATTATCTTTTAATAATCTATTCTCTAAAGGAATATAATAAAATAGAGTATAAATTTTAGAAGTTTTTAGTAGGCTAAGGAATAAGAGCCATACATCTCAATCATTCTATTACCCAGGTTTGTTAGAAGGGAAACTCCAGGGGAAAATATATTTATGGATGTTATATGCCTTTTAACTAATATACAGTATAAGCATAATTTGGACCATTGTCTTTCAGAACTTAAGGAAGGGAAGAGGAAGGGAACTAACATTTGCTGAATGCCTACCATGTGCCAGGCACTGTGCTAGACACTTTGACATACATTACAGGGGTTATTGTGAGTATTAAATGAGATAATGTATCCCCATTTTACAGATGAGGAAACTGAACTTGCCCCAAGTCACATGGCTGGTAAGTGGCAGAGCTGGACTAGAATCCAGACTCCAGATCCCATGCTTTTTCTACTGTACCGTGTTTAAAGCTTGTGAAGAGAGGTATGAAGCTTAATGACCAGAATTGAGAGTTCTAGGAATTTGCTTTTTCCATGAAATATTTGATACTAAACCTAAAAAAAAAAAAAAAAATGTTCATGTCAGGAGGTAGATAGTGGGAAATACACTGTAATTAGAGCTCATCTGCTTCTCAAATGCCAGGTGAGATGACTAGTGTGTAAGGCAAGATTAGGAAGTAATGCCAGTTGGAGTAAATACATAGCATCTTGTGAGAGCTTCCCACGTCTTAGTGTTAAAGACTTAGCTATAATAATAGCTAATAATAGTCTTATAATAATAATACTGCTTATTTTAAACATTCAAATGACAGTGGGCTTGGGCAAAACCCTGGGAAGTTCAAAATTTCCTTCGTGGTGTACGTGTAAACCCACCGAGCACCCATCATATGCCAGGTACTGTGCTAGGTTATATGGGGTACCAAGCTAAAAAAGACACCCCTGACTTTAAAGTTTTTGTTGCCTTAGAATAAAATTAGTATATAAGTATCTTTATCATATTATCTTTCTTCAATCACAAGATGATAGCCCCACTGATGACTCATTTATTGTCAGAAATAATGTATACAGTGGAATTCTAGAATAAATAGTGTGGACACACATTTAGTAGTTAGATGGAACAGGAATTAGCCTTTATAGGAGTACAGGGATAAGAATATCTCATCAAAGACTGTAAGGTGGTTCTTTGAACTGTGATTCTAGGAATTGAATCTGCTTTAAATTGCCACCGAATTGATAATATTGGAAATTGAAGCTAACCAAGATAAAAACTTTATCACTTCTTCCAACAACAAAACTTTTTGACATTTGGGTTTTCTCAAAACAAGAGATTCTCTTTGCCCATATCTTTTCAGTGTACTTACTAATAAGATCATATTTGAATATATGGAATTTATCCATTGACATTTATTCTGTGACCACTAAAAGTGTACCATCATACATTCTTTAGGATATTACAGAAATGTATATTAACTCCTACTAATTAATACCAATTCATATTTCTGTCTTGAACTAATGACCTGAAATCTGATTTTTGTTGAAGGAGATAAATATATAGTATATCTGAATCATTGCAATAAAACCCATTTATTAGCTAACATCCCAGAACTAATATATCCAAATATATCATCCCCTTCCAAGTTATCATTTTAAAGATTTATTTATTTATTAGAGAGCAAGAATGAGAGAGAGTACATGAGAGGGGGAGGGTTAGAGGGAGAAGCAGGCTCCTCGCTGAGCTGGGAGCCCCATGTGGGACTCGATCCAGGGACTCCAGGATCATGACCTGAGCCGAAGGCAGTCACTTAACCAACTGAGCCATCCAGGCGCCCCCCAAGTTATCATTTTAAAGTGATATCTTTTTCCTGAGCTATTGCTCAAGAATGTTTTAAGAATACTTCTTTTGAATTGCTTTTATCCTTCATGGTGCCAAATTTGGTCCTTTGAGGGTGGTTTCAGCTTTTGGAAACAGACCAAAGTTTAGAACCATTTCTGCTTGTAAGACCAATGAATGAATTTTAGTTTTTCATCTATGAAGTATACCTACCCCCCCTTTTTTCCTTTTTTAAAAAAGAATGAATACTCTTAAACTAACTTTTACATATCATATCAGCATTCTGCTCTAACTTTATAGGACAGAAAATAGCAGATGTATTACAAAAGGAGAGGGAGAGAGAGCGGGTATAACGAACCCCTCTGTTAATTTTATTGCCCTTCTCTGTGACCAAAGTTTGCAAAAGAACAGCCCTAGACCAAGGTCTGCATCCATGCCGCCTGCGAATGTCAGCACGATGACATGTAAACTTCTCATTCGTCAGTGGCTATTGTTCCAGTTTTAGAAAGCCTGTGTAGCCTCCAGCTGTTCCATTGTCTCAACCTTTATTATCCCATAACCTTTTTCCTTGGATGTGGGTAAAGAGAAAAGAGGAGAGAACTATGTTATTCTGTGCTCCATTCTACCTCCTCTGACAATGTGATTAAAATATAAAAAATCTTTAGTCAGTTAACAGTTTAAAACTTTTTAAAATTACCTTCTTAAATATTTGAAGGCTAAGATATTCTATGACATATAATGAGATAACTGTGTATACAGTATTTTAAATAGTCACAAAAACAAATTTAGGATTTTTCCTAAGTTTACTATTGATAGAGATTTTGCTAGTGATAGTTATATTTATCAGTTACTATTTATCACCATTGTTTTTAAAATTATATATAGAAGGAAGGAGCAGTGCATCCTTATAGTGGTATTTTTGTTAATCTTATGAAGACCTTTAAGTGATCTTCCCCCAAAGCCATATTTTAAAAGTTTAAAAAAATATTTTCACCTAATTCTTAAGCTCTAGGGGGAAAAAAAAAACACCCTGGCATTTACCCAAAAAGGAGCACCTTGATCAGTTTTTGGTTAACCTTTTAAACTGCTTTAGCTATTTTCATTTGTAATATTCTATTTAAATGAAAAAAGTCTTTGTGCCCCTTTTGGGTAAAATTTCAGTTCTTACTCAATGGTTATAATGCATTTTAATGAAATATGGAAGTGATGTGTTTTCTATTTTGATTGGCATTGGTTCAGACCAATTTTTGTAGGATTTGGTAACTTTTAAAAAACCTTTTTCTTGCAGTTAGCTTTGAGACAGCATGAATTTTGTACTCTCTTAGAGTGTCAGATTAACTTTGGACCATACATTCTCTAAGTGGTGGTAGAAACATATTTCATCACTTAAATCTATCTGTCTCTTCTAGGAAGCTATGTTCATTAGAGTAGAAAGGCAAATGTTGAGTATAAATTAGGAAACTTGGAGGACTTTTAGTATTCAATATGAATACTAAGTAAATATTAAGTCTGTCATTTAACTGTGATTGTACTATAGTTAGAAAAGTTTTTTATAGGGTGCCTGGGTGGCTCAGAGGGTTAAGCGTCTGCCTTCAGCTCAGGTCATGATCCCAGCGTCCTGGGATCGAGTCCCGCATCGGGCTCCCTGCTCCTTGGGAGCCTGCTTCTCCCTCTGCCTCTCTCTCTCTTTGTCTCTCATGAATAAATAAATAAAATCTTTAAAAAAAAAAAAGAAAAGTTTTTTAAGTGAATACTTAGAAATATATTATTATCTCAAGAAACCTACTTAAGACAAAAATTATCATCCCCCAGAGAAACTAGATTTAAGTAGAGCTTTGCTGTTTTTGTTCTTTATTTTGTTTTGGTTTTTAAACTGAAAATACAGTGAGCCAGGTTTGTCCTTCTAATACCTCAGTCATCTTCTGGTTGTAGGACTTGTATTTAAAGACATGCAGTAACTGTCTCAGACATGGTGTAGGGCACAGGAAAATCTCTTATCTGGAATATTCTGCTTAATTAAAATTTTTGCAGTGGTATGCTAGAGCCAGCTCCCACTGGTATGCTAGAGTGATTATTAAATTTTCAGGGTTTTTGTGAGCTGGTTGTAAAAAGAGCCATTGTTAAAAATTAAATATGTATAAAGAAACATATATATTTAACAAATGAGTTATGTTAAAAACAATAAATACTCAAAACTCATCACTTCTCATAATTTTATCTATGCTCGTGAGGTTATTTCCATTCTTTTATCTGTATGTTGTGCTACTTACTGTGTATGTCTTCTCATCTCCACCTTCCGTGAGGTCACACTGACAGCTTGAAATTGGCCATGGTGAAAGTATTTACATCATGTAAATTGATAAACACATCAGGGCCTTTTTCCCCCAGAGAGCACTTGAAAAGCCTCCCTAATTTAGCCTTTGATAAAAACCTTTCTAAAATGCACGGGGGCATTTTTCTACCTTAACTGTATAGAGCATACTGAATATTATTGTTCCAAATGCTGAAGACCTTTGATACCTAAGACTTTAATGCTCAAAATAATCATCTTAAATATTAGCAAAGTCACTTCTTATGACATGTAAAAAGAAGTATGTTATTTCCAGGTCAATTTTATATAAAAGATCAAGTTGTAAATTGTTTATATAAACTTGTCATATTTTGTTTCATTGCAGCTGCCACTGGTGACATGCCGACTTACCAGATCCGAGCTCCTACTACTGCTTTGCCTCAGGGAGTAGTGATGGCTGCCTCGCCAGGAAGCTTGCACAGTCCCCAGCAACTGGCCGAAGAAGCAACCCGCAAACGAGAGCTGAGGCTAATGAAAAACAGGTAGGCTGTTTCTCCGGAAACCAGTAGCCACCTATCGGATGCATAACTTACCGCTGTGGGGCTTTTAAAAAAATTGCTTTTCCCAAGCCATTTTTCCCAAGTTACGTGTTCTGTGGCATTTTGGGGTTTGTGCTCTGCATGTGATAATAATTAGATTTTCTTGTCATCAGAGTGCCTAGCCGGGAAACCATTTCATCAGCGGGAGTCACATCCCTATGTGTGGTAAGGGTAATGTCTAAAAGATACATTAATTTTCTTAATGATGATGCAAAGGCTTTATTACAAATAAAGATTTATTTTTTACTTGGCATTTACTTTGTGAAGTAGGTGATAAGTGTAATTTTTTTGTTTCTTTATGAGCAAAATAAATTTAAGTGTGAGTAAAGAATTTCTAAGCCTCTTAGGGGTGCCTGGCTAGCTTAGTTGGTAGAGCATGTAACTCTTGATCTTAGGGTCTGTGGGTTCAATCCCTGTGTTAGGGGTAGAGTTTATGCAAATAAATAAATAAATAGAATTTTCTAAGCCTTTTATATGTAGTTTTCTTTTATCTACTTTGTAACTTTGGTTTTTTTCTATTATACTGAAATGCATATTAATTCTGATAAATTTTGGTCAAGTGCAAATACAAAGCACCAGAAAGAAACAAAATTACTTAGAGCCCCATCACTTAGAGATACCTAACTAATATTATAACATAGGTACTTCCAGTTCACACTCTCATTTTCTCACTCTTGTACCATGTTTCTGTAATTTTATTTTTTAAACAGGTGTATGTCATAAAAATGCTGTTTTCCAAAATTCTTTAATTTGACTTCTATATTATTTCTTGGTTTAGTTTTTATGATGGAAATGGTGCAAGTTAATCTGATTTTCAAAATGAATAGAGTAGTCCAAGAGTTCTCCCAGTCGTCTGGTCACCTTATTCCTAAGTATTAAATCATGTCCTCATTGTAAGAAAACAGAACATTTCAGATGACATCATGTGCTCACCTCTGACCAGGACCACCTGGTGGTGGTTTGTTTAGTAACATTACCACCTAGTTAGTCTAGAAATTGTGGCTTCTGAGCCACTACAATTCAGAAATAAGTACTGACTTCCTAACAGTCCTTTGTAACTGAATGTGAACCAGTAGCAGCTATATTCAGTTTACTAACATCTCTTTATCTTTTTTAATTTTATTTTATTATGTTATGTTCGTCATCATACCTTACATCATTAGTTTTTGTGGGTTTTTTTTGTTTTTTTTTTAATTTTTTTTTTATTCTTATGTTAATCCCCATACATTACATCATTAGTTCTAGATGAAGTGTTCCATGATTCACTGTTCGTGCACAACACCCAGTGCTCCCTGCAGAACGTGCCCTCCTCAATACCCACCACCAGGCCAACCCATCCTCCCACCCCCC